AATTCAATATATTTAAAAAACTATATCAGTTCTTATGAACTAAAGAAGTCTCAAAGCTTTGAAAAATAATCAATTTTCAAACAAAGTGAAAAAACTTAATTGTCAGTTTAATTTATGTATGTGGCCCTATGTATTTAATAAAGAAAAAAATACAACTATCATAGGTGTTTATTATAATAAATGAAGTCAGATGGAGAATATAAAAAATGTTTTACCTATGAACAGATTTCATGTCACTCTTTGTAAAAATGGAAAATTAAGAACCTTTAAAAATAATTTTTCTACTAGTATATATCAATACATAGTTGAAATTTTCTATCAACTTCCCTAGTTATGAGGACAATCTTTGCCCTGGAAAAAATGATGAGAATAGTGGACAAACCTCAAACATTTTGATCACTATGCAGTAAAAGACATTTTTGGCATTTATAACTGCTTATTATTTTTTAAATGTAATTTTGGGAGAAAAATGTTAATTATTTTTGGGCAGGGGCTGAAGAAATCCCAGTGAGACATTCTGTAGAGAGGTCTTTCGTTAGTGTAACATCTGACCTTCTATATCTTTGGAAATCATGCAACTTGGCTAATGTAGTCCTTAAAGAATTAATCAAGCAGATTGTTAGGCCCTAGTTACAGTGGAGCCAGCCAATTATGAGTTGCTCAGAAATTCATCACTGGCATGTCCAACCACATTTTCCCACATAAAGATTAGTAGAAATATGTGGAAATAGGGCCCATTCCCACCCCAGCACAGCTACAATATGTGTTCTTCCATAAAACAAATTTCAACAAAGTTTTGCCTTAGTGGAAACAAACAATTTATTTGGGGATCTTTTTTATTCCTGTCTTTACTCATAACACCTTTTTTGCCAACATTGCAAATGCTGCCTTATTTAGTTAAAACTAAACCAGGGATTTTTACATTCAAACACACTTCTGAATTTAGAGCACTAAAGTCACATGCCACAAGCCTGAATTCATCAGTAAGTTACTGAAATCCCCAAAGACCAACACTATCTTTTCACTGTTGTGATAACGCCCTCCCAAGGCTTACTGAGAAGAAAGCTTTGCTTGCAACAGAGAAATGAAAGGGGCCAGAGTAGATGAAGACTGGTTCTCTAAGGAGAGGACAGTGCTGGTCTTAAATAAAGAAGCTCCTTTCAGATAAGCAGAATCAGATTCCAGTTCATTTGGTTTGCTGGCTACCCTTACTTTGAACTCTCATATTTAACCCAGCAGGCTTCAAAGCAGGTGAGAAAATGACCTACCACTTAAAAGCAATTTTTCCTTTTTCAGGAATTCTGGGCTTGGAGAATATCAGCTTTAATATCAGCAGCACATTCCACATCTCCACAGATTTATGCAATTTTTTTTTCATTGCTCTATGTCTAATGCCAGGCTAAGTTTTATCTCAGCTGGGG